GGGGGGGGAAGAGACCTGCCTATGATAATGTCTGTGATAAAAGTGGCACACCGGACGACTGGCGTACATTGCAGAAACAGTAGCTATGTTTGCGTTGCGCTGCTGGACCCATTAGGCGGTGACAGAATACTCGGCGCTAGTATTAAGTGATCAATAACCCACAAGTAACTCTGGAGACTGAACAAACGCAGAACACAAAATTAGTAAAATTTTGTCATTCGTCTGATGAGACGACGTAAAAAACCATTTGAGAGTAAAAATAAACCGGAGACCCAAAATCGAGGAAGAAACGAAAAAAAAAAAAATAAGAGACGGCGCGTGCATGACCCCGCACGACCGATGTGATGGCCTGATCGAGCAGAGCCTGGTCCACGTGACCCACGTGACGAACAAAGTCCGGCCCACGAGATCCTGGTGATGACAGTCGGATGGCTCGACTCACGTGACATACGTGATGACCTAACTGAACACGGGAAGTTGATTTACATGACAACGTAGGATTTTGGGCGAACATCAGGGCTGATTCATGTGACAGCGCAATGGTCAGATTAACTGACCATTTCCTCGATCGAGCCCCAGCGAATTTCGAAACTGGCGCAGAGAAGAACAGTTTCTATGAGAGTGTTTTCCTCTGTAGCGATTTCGAAGACACATTTGATATTAGCGGAAGCCGTGAAAATTAAGCCACCTTGAACCTTTTTCAGGATGCTTTGCCAGTGGCGCTGTGTTATCAGTTGGTCGTTTCCGTCCATCCAGAACGAAGTACAGTGGTTTTCTACCGATTGGATTCCATGGTTTCCGTTGCCTCCTCCGTCTTGCCACTAGCGTTTTCTAAGCTGCTGTATCAATCTACCGACAGTTCGTGGCGAAGAAATATTTCAGGATAACAGTGCAACTACCCAGATACTCTTGGAAAAACTGGATCGAAAACAGACAAAAGATCCCGGGAATCACAAACTCACAGAAATGAAATAACTTCTAAATCCGCCAAAAGTCTTTTAGCAGTATGAACTCTGTGAAGTCTGAAAAGGCCTGAGAGAGTGCCAAAGGTCGTAACATGGAACAGCTCACTCCCGCCAATCATTTCTTAATTTTAAATTAAGCTATTTGGAGTTGAATTTCCTTTTCTAATCACCATGAATTTTACGTTTGGTTAGGGGGCTGTACTGATGAATCCCAGACTACAGCATTTACTGTCTGTGTTTACAGCCAATGGATGAAACACAGACAGACCAATTTCCACATATTTTCCTGTACATGACTTTTTCACATGACAACGTGCCTTAACTACCTTTTCAACCCTACTATCTTCCTCTTCCTTCCATTACAAAAATCGCGTCACCCATTTTTCAAATTTGATTTCGACCTATCCTTATTTTAAGGCTCATTTTGGCCTACGCTTCATCATTTACGGTTCGACTTAACCCCCGTATAAACCAATTTCCGCATCCACTATACGTGTTCGGCCTTTCACTGGCAGTTAACTAATTATTCAACGAGATAGTTCAGATGATGTGCCAACTCGCGCAGTCATGCTGAATCGTATTAATAAAATACCTGAAGCACAACTAATTAATTAGTTACACATATCACCATCATAAAACATACGAAAACAAAAAAAACGGACTACATAAAAAGCAGGAATGACGCGAATATATAATGTAGACCCAAATCGGCGCAAGTGTTGTAATTTGAAAAGGCGGGGGCCGAGAACGGGAGCTAAAACTACTGCCAAATCATAAGCATAAAATGTGAAAAAAGACGGGCGTCCTTCGAATGAGCAAAAAAGCGGGAGAGAGTAAGCGAGGCGTAGTGAGACCGGCAACAAAACACAGCCAATTTCGAGCATAAATAAGAATATGAGAAGCGCAACCAAATAATAATTTCTAGCTTCTTTTCATCTTCCTGAGCATCGTTGGGCCAAGCAGTGTTCCAAAACCATAAGCAGCAAATACCAGCGAAAATAATGGCAATACACAAAGTAACAATACCTGAAAAAACAGAATTTTGCTTTTATCGCGCATTAGTTGAGGCTTTGAAACTCACAACAACAGTCTTATTTTTGCAATAATATTTTCACAAGTAACGGGAAGAATGGAGTGATACAGCTGTAGATCATCTATTCGAAAAAAGCAAGTAAATTGGTAAAAACAAATGCCTCGATTACTGGAAGCAATGCGTTGAGGTTCAGCTGATGCAACTCCGGTTAAAGCAACCGTAAAAAAGTAGACAGTTGCACTCACAGCATAAAAAAATGTGCTTGGATAAAAAGGCAACAGCTAAATATCCAAGTAAGGTGCAAATATGCTAAGTAGCAATCCACTGCAATCCCAGCTTTCTAGCTTTTCACGTTCCCGAGTTAGCAACTTAGTCGCAAAAAACTTCCACAGTTCGTACGTGGGAACCACGTGGGCAAACGTACCCATTTCAGGGACTGTGAAAGTTTCTTGCGAGTAAGTTGCAAACTCAGGAACGTAAAAAGCTAGAAAGCTGGGATTGCAGTGGATTGCTACTTAGCATATTTGCACCTTACTTGGATATTTTGTTTAGCTGTTGCCCATACATGGACGTACATTAAGTTCCCAAAGTTTTAACCGTGTAACTATAGCAGGTCTGAAGATAAAAATCGGTACAGACGAACACACAGACATGGCAACTACTACATCTCGGCTGAAAGACAGAAACTGAATTCGCCTCGCAGCTTTTACCGCATTCAGAAGCCGCTAAAACTGCCGGAGTGAAACAAAAACTCTCTCCCCGCCTCCCCCCTCCCCCGGCCCTTTCCTCTTCAAAAAAAAAAAACAGTATGAAGTTATTCCAGGAACTAATAAAACTGCTAAAACTTCCGAATGCCCTTTTCATTAAAAAAAAAAGGCAAAAATGGAATATAACGAAACGAGCATCAAAGTGGAAGAGAAACCCGTATTCCATTCAGGTAACCCTATCCATCAAGATTTTTAGGATCGAAAATGAAAGACTCACAGCAAAATCAAAGCAACTTCCGTAGTCTGATATTGTATCAACGACGACTTCCTCACTTTTCTCCTCATCATATTGCGACAAATGAGGCTCTGACTCGGCTGAAAACAAACCGGCCGTTCTGTCATGGCAAAAAACGATTGGGCGGTAAGCGCCCCCATGAGCAGTGGCGCAACAATCGAAAATTCAGCGATCGCGCGAATGTTACCATGATCACAAACACAGAAAAAAAAGCCTTCTTAGAGATGGGAAAATGTAGAAGTTCACATGAGAAGGCGATGGACAAATTTATGCGAAATGAGAGTGCTTACCGTAAGATGCCAGCGAATCAGTAACATGCGACACGGATGTGTGTGGTAAATCTCCAAAACAGCTAATCTGGTCAAGCACTGATCCAATTGCCTAAAAACATGAATTTACAGTGATCAGAAACAAAATTTGCACATTTGTTTCAATCTACTCACAAAAAAAAAGGTCAAAAATCCCACAACCACGAGCTTTTCATAGAAGGCTCACTCCAATTTTGATTCCTGCCATAGGCGGATCCAAGGTGGTTTCCTGAGAGGGAGGGGGCCGGGCGATTTTCTACCTCACATTTTTCCTTCGGCACTACATCCTCCACCCCTCCCTCGAGCAGCTTGATGATTCCTATACAGTTTTTCCCTAATTTTCAGTAACTACGATGCCAAGTTCCAGCAAAGCCATATTTTCTTTTTTCGACATTAAGAATCTTGACCCATTAAAATAAAACAGGAGGATCCACAGTAAACTAGTTGCCTTTATTTAGCCCTTATCAATAAATCTAAGGCAAAAAAAGAATAGGAAGTTTGAAGTTCAGTCTGTCGAATGCAAAGAAGAATTCTTGCCTGTACAGCTTCGGAATCTCCGTACGCAAGATGCCCGTAGTTCGCTTCGGCCGATTTCAGTTGTTTCTGTAGCTGTGTAACTTGCTCCCTGAGCGAACCATTCGTATCGATCGCTACAGCAAGCTCACATTCCAAATCCACAACGCGTTGCCCCAGGACATTTGAGTTCTCCTCTGCAAGAAATGTCACAAAAATCCACAGAAACGAAGCAGAAGCATCGCAACATATCCAGGAATAGCTGAAATCAAACTCGAACCAGCATTCAGAAGGCTCCTTTCCACATCGGCAAGTCGTTGCAGGGCTTCGCAGCGCTCTTCCTGCGCTCTGCGTAGTGATTCCTTTGCAAGTGTTTCGAATTTATTCTTATCGGCAAGTATGTCACTCATTTGCTCCTTAATTTTCTCGCTAACGGCATTCTTTGAGTACAGTGCAAGTTGTCCTTCCAACATTTCTATCCTTGACAGCATCTGTTCCTCGTTTATCAAAGCCTTAAATTTGAATCAAAAAATTTGAAGTAATTAGAATCAGGGCGTCAACCCAATGCGTTTACAGCGCTAAAAGCAAATTTGCAAGAAATACGCAATGGAGGCAGCAATGCGAAGTAATGTGCTCGCGATCGGGAATTCTGGCACAGCAACGTACGGATTAATGGACCGAAACATTTCTTACCATTGTAATAACATTATAATAATTTTAGTAATTTTACAAGTTTTCTAACTCTCACTTCCTACTTTCTTCTTATTTCATCCCTTGTTAATATACCTTTCTATTAATTCTTATCGACTAACCGTTATTTTGTGCCACCTCCGTAAAAAGCCTTCTTTAGCCAACTTGCGATGTCAGGGAGCCAGAAATCCCTCACAACGGCATTCATTAAGCCATCTACTAAAACGACGTTATATAAACCCGCATTTCATTTAAAAAAAACCATTTTGACGCAGGCAAAAATTTTAAGTTACACAGTTTTAACAAAAAATTTGCTTAATTTTTTGCATACGTCATCAATGAAGGTCTGAGTTAGGCAAGTAAAACATAATGAAATATATTTATCGCGGACCTGCCAGCTCGTTTCGGCAGCTTGTTCAGTAGAAGAGAGGACACGCTGCAGCCTGGCAAGCTTCTCTTCCAGAGCACGTTCTCGGAACACTGCTTCACGCATGTACTGCTGCAACTGGAACAGCTGGTGAGGATCAATTAGCGGCAGTGTTATCGAGGACGAGTCACTGTCGTAAGTGTTATGATAATCACTGGCATTCTCTGGTGCACAAACTTCTTCACCATTCACATCGAAAAGCCGGATCATTGCCACAATGCATCCATGTGTTACTGCAAAAAAATACCCGGTACGTTTTTTTCCATCTATGCAATGCAAAAACGCATAGTTTCGAGAGGCTGTGTGTGTGTGTCAATACTGAATTTTCATCTCGAAACCTACAAAAGCTAGAAGGCTGAAACTTTGATAACTTACTCTGCACCTATGTACGCGCTCCTACCCTCAAAACGATCGCTCACTTCCGCGTGGTACTCACGTACAGGCGCGTGAAATTTATGGCGAGTAAGTTGCTAACTCCGAAAACTAGAAAAGCCAGAAAGCTGAAATTTTAAGGAAATGCTTCCCGGCATTCGTGATGGCCAGTCTCAATTATTTTAGCTAGAAACATTTGTCGGAAAAAACAATGTCGTCAGTAAGAAAAACCTGTCAGGAACTATGCAAAAAACGCCTCTTCGCATCGGCAGTCGGCGCGCTGATCAATTATTACTATTGTGTAGAGGTGTGTGATCATAAACAACAGTGGGAGAGAAAAGTAAGTACGCACTTTTGTTGGCATTTTCAACAATTTCTACGCCAAACTGCAATATATCGCCAGAGAAAATCTGTCGGGCCACACTCTCTTCCGCACTTTTTGAGAGCCGTTCATTGTTCACGAATGTTCCATTGCTGCTTCGCGTATCTTTGAGCAGAAAAGCGCCATCTTCTTGCCACAGAAGTGCATGATTTCTCGACAGAACCTTAAAAAGCCAAATAATACATAACTATCTGTTCGGAAACAAACAATCTACGGCAAAAGTCTACGCATTTTTGGAAGATGGAATCAGTTTCCAAAAGTTCCTTGCCAATTACCAAAGACACAAAGGCCATGGAGACAATCATAGTGGAAATTTCATATTGCTGGCACCACTGAGACCCTAATTTTTGCAGAAATTTTTTTTCAAACCTTGCAGTCGAAGATGGCGTTGTCAGTGTTTGGCTTCCAACGCGCAACCGATCGCCCAATTTTCACTGCTTCCTCTTCGGAACTCGGAACAGTAAAACGCCTTTCTTCAAATACGTGTGAGTGCGCGCACGCTGTTAATATTGCGTAGGGGCACCGCATTCCTGGCGTATCAGTGCTAAAAAAAAGAAATTTTTTACATTGAA